ATTCAATGACCCGTTAGTCATTCAAAAGTATAGTCACCAATTTCTGCATTTTCTAAGGTTTCTCTCTTTTCATTTCTATTTTAAACCAGGGTCCTCCCATAGGATGTACAGGGTTACCTCATTTTTTTCTATGTATAAAAAACTTGGGTTTTGGCCTGTACTGAAGTCCATTTTAAAGAAGGTTCCTCTGCCTCTGAGAAGAATGGGTATTGTTCTGCAGTTATGGTTTAAGTCTATATAATATTTGAAAGATTAACTCTGGGGATTTCTTGCACATTTTTTAATTTAGGGAAGCTATCTAGAAATGGCAATGCAGTGTTGAAGTGTCCCATTTTTATTGTGCTTGAACAACGTGAACTTCCATGCTTTCCAAAGTTATCTATATAAAATCAGAGACCTCATGATTTGACGTGAAAATACTTGTGATAGTTATGTCATGTTTGTCAGTGTGTAGAGATCTTCTTCATTTATTCTGACTAGTGGCTTTAACTGGCAATAAGTGTCAATGTAGTCATATTAACGATGTATGCAGAAGGAAAGAAACAGATGTTAGAAAAGCCAGCTGTTCATAGTTCCTCTCTTGTAGACACAGCAAATCCAAGAAGAAGATGCAGGGTGAGGCCGGCCCCATCTTATCTCACCTCCAGTGAGACATCTACTTTTTCTTCCCTGAGCTGACACTGAAGCAGAGATGCTGAGGGATCCTGCTCCTTTGCCTGCCCATCATTCCCTCTTAGTAAGATAATATCTCTGCGAGCTTGCAACACCCAAAGTCATGGACTGAAATCACATTGGCCAGGTCAGGTTTGAATATTCTCAAAAGTCGTATTATACTTAGTTTATGTATTTTTTATTTTTCAAAATTTCATATAGATATAAAAGTTGTTTTGGTCAAATCTCCTCCCCATTCCTTCCTTATAAATTACTCCCTATTCCTACCTTCGTTTTCTTTACAAACTCCATCACGTTTTCTTAAAAATGCAGAGTCTTTTTACTGCTAAGGTTTTGAGCCAAGATTTGGACAACTGACTGAAGGACAGGAAGCCCCTCAGACTGCTCCACTAGCTCCCCTACCATTTATTACCAATACCTCATCGGGTGGGTGAGGCGCTTAAAAGCACTGCACTATCAAATACGGGTGTTTTGTTGACTCTTCCGCAGATCTTGTGCTTGTAGTCACAACCACTTGAAGTTTACACTTGTGACAACCTAGACATTCCCTGCACATCCTGCAGAGCTGCCGCACACACCTACTGTTCCTGGCTCTTCCACTCTTTCCAGCTTATCCACCTTGAGGATTGCTAAGCCTTGAGTGTCAGATATGACATAGGTATCTCAATTAGAGCTAAGCACACAGCAATCTGCTATCCATGCATTTTGACCAGCTATAAGTCTCTGTGTTTATACCAACTACTGCAGTATTAATTTTTTCTGATGTGGATTAACTGTTGGGAGGCCCTGCTGGTCAGAAGTTGCAGTCAAGCTCAACAACATGGCGGACTCACTCTCCAGCGCGGCCTTCTGCTCTCTACCTGCTCCTAGTTAGAGGATGTCTCTAGGTCTGGGTGCCTGACTTATCTCAAGGATGACCTTTGACATAGTTCCCTGCAAATGCTCCCCTCCCTGCCCCTGTGGAACACATGGTAATTGAGTAGTATGCTCTAGCTAATTCATAGAACGATGCTGCCGCTAACCCAGCTTTACGATAGGAGTATGCCACATAATGCAATTGTCTCCGGGCTTCCCAATCCTGCGCGTTTCCTATACTCTGAAATAAAGTTGCCTTGTCTCACTGAAGTCATCTCCTGGAGGGTTCTCTCCAACACATCCACAGCCGACCCTGTTTCCCGCCTCTGCTCCCTCCCTCCTTGCTGGTAGTGGCTGATGAACCCGAGGAAGAAAGGGAACCACAGCCTACTGTGTAGGTATGACCTTGGAAGAGTTTATCACTTTGCCCATTACCACAGTGATAGGAGTAGGCTCTGCCCTAGCCCAGCACAGGCTTATGAGCCAACTCACACTATGAAATATAAGCATCTACCACAGTGACTTTCAATCCAGTCCAAACATGGGTAGGAAGTCTCATAAGTTGTGCCATGATATCACTATTGGAACATGTTGCTCAGACATGTTTTTATTCTGTACCCGTGTTCACAATGGGGTAAAACTGTTTATTACACTTCTCTGATTAGATAGTGAGGTTATTTCAACCCCCAAATTCTTCAAGTCCACACACAGAATATGTATTGTAATCCATTTGTGTCTTGTTTGGTTCTTTCATCAATATTTTATAATTTCCATTTTGCCAGTTTTTCACTTTCTTGGTTTAATTTATTTGAATGTATTATTTTTGGTGCTCCCATGTATGAAATTATCTCCTTGATTTTATTGTGAGACATGTTGCTATTCTGGAAGCAATTAAAATTATTTCATATTTTTATATGTAGATTTTCATATCCTGAAATTTCTGAATTATTATTCATAAATGTTGGTGTTTACTGCATATAGAAAAATGTCACGTGTGAAAGTGAATAATCTTACTTCCCTACTCTTGATTTGGGCACATTTGATTTCTATTTATTTCATAAAAAATTCTAGATTATGCTTGGTGCTCTGTGGAAAAGCATAGATTAACCTGGACGTCTTCATGTTGGATCCCTGAGGAGAGTACAGCATTTTCTGCTCATGGTCATATAAGTTAAAATTATTTGATTTGCTTTGTTTTGTGTTTAAAATTTGTTTGTCAATCAGACAGGATATCAGTCCTCTGTCTGATGAGGGGTTAGTGAAGATCTTTTCCCATTCTGTAGGCTGTCGTTTTGTCTTGTTGACTGTGTCCTTTGCTTTACAGAAGCTTTTCAGTTTCAGGAGGTCCCATTTATTAATTGTTTCTCTCATTGTCTGTGCTGCTGGGGTTTTATTTACAAAGTGGTGTCCTTTGCCAATGTGTTCAAGTGTACTTCCCACTTTCTCTTCTATCAGGTTCAGTGTGGACTTGATCCATTTGGACTTGAGTTTTGTGCATGGTGATAGATATGCATCTATTTTCATTCTTCTATGTGTTGATATCCAGTTATGCCAGCACCATTTGTTAAATATGCTTACTTTTTTCCACTGTATATTTTTTGCTTTGTCAAAAATCTTGTGCTCGAAGGTGTGTGGATTAATATCTGGGTCTTTGGTCAGTCCCATTGGTCCTCCTGTCTGTTTTTATGCCTGTACCAAGCTGAAGAGGTGTCAATGAATGCTGCATCCTCAGTACACCTCATGTGACACAGCACCTTCCCTGTCATGCTTCCATGTAACAGACATGTGCACACGCTCAAACACACACATGCACACAGTCACACACCCATATTGGAAACCAAACTGGGCTGAGAAATGGTAAGTCTTAAGGTTGCTGACAATGCCTTCACTTCAACACTAAGTAAGACAGAACAGACAGGCTTGTCAATCAAATGTCCAGGTGGAGGCACTGGTTGTTAACTAGTTTCTCTAAGGCGGGTAAGCTGTTCTGCATCACTGGGCTGAACATAATACTTGGAATTAGGAAATAATATGAAACTTCCCACAGTGTCTGTTCAGAAACAGCTTCACTGTGAATCGGTATCCATCATGGGAACATGAAATCTTCCTTGTGACGGGGTTTGTGTCTTTGTCTCAAGCATGCAATGCACCGAAATCTTCCAAAGAAGAGATGGATATTCTCAGTACTCCATGATTCCATGTAGCTTCTTCACGACAGTGAGTGCAATCCATGGTCCTAAGAATGTATTTCTGACACCTTGGTATTCGAGGAGGAATCATCGCAGTGTTCTGCTTAGCACAAATGAGGGAAGGTCAAAACAGATACCATTGGTGTTCAAGATAGTGTCAAAGATGAACAATGTCAGGATCGGAGGAGAGAGAGAAAATTCAATGAGGAACATCAAACTGAAGGCAGAGAGAAATCCCACAACGCACGATGGACCAGTAGATGGTGCACACTTCAGTGTGATCCCAGGAGCTGTGCCCCTTGCAGGAGGTGCAGAGGAGGAAATCAAGTGCTCAGGGCACAGCTGGTGGAGACTATGTGCCCGAGTTTGTGAAAAGTCAGGGAGAAGTGGGTGAGGTGGTTGTGGGCAGAATCATATTTATTACACAAGTTAATGGGTTTAAGTGTGGGCAAAGAATTTACAGACAGATGGAAAGATCGTTAGATGGATTCTGGAAATTCCCTGCTAGTAAACGTCAGAGTTCCGTACATTTCATTTTGTTCATTGACTTTAACCATCTCCGTGGCCCTGACCCAAGCCCTTCAACGCGTGGATTCCAGCGTTCATATGAACCCTATGCCGGCCCTGGAGTCTGATCCACGTCTGGCTCACACTGGGTGTCAACACAGGAGGACAAGGATTATTTATTTTTGTTACTGGGTATTAAACCAAAGCCACCTTCATTATAGTCAAGTGGCATAGCCCTTACCCCTAAGCTAGCCCTGTCCATTCTCTACCGTGTGTTCAGATAAAACGCGTCTATAAATTATCCTTGTTAGCCTTGTTTTCTGAGTCTTCTGTCTTAAGCACCCGAGACGCTATATGAGCGGCAGGATTACCAAGGATGGTTTCAAAAAGCATCTTGAAGAGATGATGCTTAGTCCTACATTAGCTTCCTGCTTCCTTATTTTTAGTAAAACAGACCAATGTTCGTTTTCATGCTGCAGTTGATCCCACACTAAGTAGACCTGAGCTTTAAACTCACAGGTATTAGCGGAAATAACTAGGAAATACTAGTGGTAAACATCACTGTGGAAGGCTGGGCTCACAGGCTAACAGCGGGTGCTGAGATAGCAGGACTGAAACAGCCCGATCCCCTATGGGGGTTCCTGTGCTCGAGCCTGTTTTCCTTTCTAACTTTGCCCCGATGCAGTGAATCAACTTCTGTGGGTTCCCGGAAGCCCTTCGCGCTGAATTATGGGAAATGTAGTCTCGACCACCGTGACATCACAAGAAGGGGCTGTGGATAACGAACTTCCGCTTTCAGTCTTCTAACTTAACCTTCTCCCCTAACTTATGCGAGTGTTCTTCTCAGCGCTGGGCTTGGATCCCTGACATGGAGGTTGGTGCAGGGTGCAGCGCCGTCCTGCAGATCTGAGGGACTGTGCAAGGTGGCGGGTCCGGCATGGAGGTTGCTGACTTGGGCTGCTTAGCAGGGAGGCGGGAGAAGCTGACCTGGAGATGCTGTGCTGAGCTAGGCTGGGCCGCTGCACACGGGTGCGGGTTTGACAGGGGAGAGAGGGCGCCACACCAAAGCCATGTGCTGTAAGTGTGCTGTCTCCTAGGACACCACTGCTGCCCAAGCCCACCCGTGCTTCTGGTGCTTGAGGAGCTGAAGGGAGCTCACTTTGCTGCTTGGCTGGAGAAGCATGCTCCCCCTTAGCTGACTCTGGGTCACATGGCAATAGTCAGATTTCTCAGTACTTCCAGAAAGGGTGGTCACCTATAATATTTTTTTTTCTTCTTTTTCTCTTTCTCCCTCTTGTTTTTTTGTTGTTGTTTTGTTTTGTTTTGTTTTGTTTTATTTTTGTCTTTTTTTTCCCCCCGAGATAGGCTTTTTCTGTGTAACACCTCTGGTTATTCTGGAACTCACTCTGTAGATCAGGATGGCTTTGAACTCACAGAGATCCCCTTGCCTCTGCCTCCCAGAGTACTGGGATTAAAGGCGTGTCCCACCACACCTGGCTCTACCTATACTTTATAGAACACCTATACCCTGCCATACTTTAGTAAGCTCACCTCTGTTCCTAAAGTTCCTAGTTTCCAGGGACAGAGTACTGTGAGACAGTTCCTGTATGGGATGTTAGTTCCTTTCCTTGGAATGAATTTTGATATTTATGGAAGCCTCTGGTGGAACAGAAATGTTATATACGCTCTTGTGATCAGAATCCTCACATTCCACTCCCACGTACGCACAGGATAATCTTGTTGTCAGTATGAACCTGTCTTTGCTGAATCCAGATAATTACGAACTTCACATTGCAGAGTGAAACATACTGAGAGTAATGCTGCATCCAGTTCCTTTTGAGACGGTGATGTTGGAAATTTCGACTCCTTTTCAGACGTGAGAGAGGACTTGGGGTGATGAGATAAATGGGCCTCATGATTGACAGGAGGAGGCTTGGATATCTCTGAAAGGAGGGGTGTAGGCGGATGTGTCTCTCCCCCAGGCAGTTCCCAAATAACAAATCACCGTGAATATGATTCAATATTCTCTGCCAATAGCTCAGGCTTATTTATTAACTCTTACATTTTAAATTAACCCATATTCCTTATTTGCCCCCTGCCACAAGGCAGTATCTTTATTAATATGGAACATTAATCTCCTGCTCCTTCTGAGTCTACTGGCAGACTCCTCAGACCCTGCCCTTCACCTTCAGTTGGTTGCCCGTTCCATACCTTCTGCCTGGCTACTGCCCAATCAGCATTTTAGACCAGTTCTAGTAACAAATCTTTACAGTGTATAAGAGGGTTTTTCCTCAGCAGAGGGGAGAAACGGCCCATTTTTTTCACTAACATCCTTTTGTTAGTTCATCATATGTGGATGACTAGATGCTTCTATCGGGAAGGAACATCTATCTCCTTTGCCTATTTGACACTTTCTCTGGATTTGCAGGGAATGTTTGTTATCTTTGCATATTCATCATTATTTTCTATCATAACATCATGGTTCTTTCTTCTAACATTACCTGAATTTTTCCAGATGAGAATTCCGGCTCAGCGAATGGTAATACAACCACACTTACCACTGTCCTTCACGTGTGGTATTGCCACCATCCAGGCAGTAAACTGTGAACGTGGGATTCCTTCCTCTCCCCTGGGAAGGCGTCCAGCCTCCCTCAGTGTGCAGTCCTGCCCTTTCCTCCCAGGCTCTTATCCTGATTCCTGTCAGTGTGAGTGATGATGTGGATGGAGTTACTGGTCTTTACAAACTCAGGTGGTAACCTGTCATGTTCAACAAATCTGGGTAAACTCTTGAAGGGACCTTGTGTTTGGGTATTGAGATGTGTTTCCTGGCGATGACTGTGTATCTGTCAGAGGCCACGGAGAGAAGATGCAGGAGTCTTTTGGACCGGTTTTGCTGAGAGTCAGAAACAAAGGAATACACCTGAGAAGCAGTTTGTCATCATTTTCTGCTTTTACAGTAAAACATTTTGGTCAGTTTTCTCCAAGGACAGTGTCCAACTGAAGTGACATATTTTGAGTGTAAGAGTATGTGTCAGTTTGTCTACCTGACTATCAAAGACTGTATCCAATTGTTCTCTTTTTCGTGGTAACTATTTAAATACATGCCAGATGGAAGAGAAGTCAACGCAGTGTTTCCAGGTTCAAGTCCATGTACTATTCGTTAGGTACAATCGGTAACTGTATACTGAGCGTTTAAACTTTACATTCATAGTCTCTTTCATTAACTGTTGTTACATATGCAGATATATATATATATATGTACTTACATATGCATATATGAATACACGCATATGTATGTATTTGCTTGGAGTGTACAATCTTACTCGTGTATGTAACTGTTCGGCATTGAAATAACCAATTATTGTGCTCTTCCCTTGGGAAGACGACTTCTGGTTCTCTTAGCATCGCTTCATTGGCTCTAGTTCTTTGTGTGACGTTGAGGCCTCGCTCGCATCCCTCCCATTCTGCATTGCCGTGTTTGCTGGTGTCATCCTTTTCAGCTCATCTTTGAAGTCATTTGGTGAGACTCTGGGCATAACTTCTCTCACCTTGAGGAGACAGTCTCTCAACAAGAACCCCGACTCCTCTGGCTCTCACAGCTTTCTGTGCCCTCCTTTGAAGGGATAGCTGTGCCTTAGATGTAGGAGCTGTGCTGTCCACATCTTACAGTTCCTCATCTTGTTTGGTTGTGGTTTTCTACATGGGTCTCTACCTGCTGTAAAGAAAAGGGGTGACTACTATATTTACCTGTGAGTGGAACGTCAAATCCTTAGAATATAATTAGGGATTATGCTGAATTAATAAACTGGTAGTTGCAGATTCTCCTCCAAGTTCCTTGACTTCACTAGCTCTACGATGTTGGCTAGGTTTCCTGAACCAGGAATGATCCTCCTCTTGTTGAGCAGATCTTAATCCAGTTAAAAAGATGTTCATTGCCACCATGGCATGGGTGCCACTACTGCACCCATAGGGTTATCTCACCATGAAGGTCATTGCTACAATTTATAAGCATCATAGTTGGGCATGGCTTTGTGTTAACAAGGAAATAAGTGGCTACACAGTTAACAAAGACATAAATTGTTGGACATACATCTGTCAGTCGGTTTTTTTGTTAGCTTGAATATATCATTATAACCTAAGGAATTTAATGTTATATAAAAATCTATTCTAATCTAAAATACCTTGGGGACACGCTGTTGTCTGCTCAGTCTACAAAGAAAATACAACAATACATTAAGGGCATGGATGGACTAAGAAGTTTTATAGGTGCTGCCTTAGATGGTTATATCCCATGATCCAAATCACAGTGTAGTCACATGACAAGTGTTCTTTAATCTTTCCAAACATGGCTGCTAGCCACATGGTTGTTTTTATCCTGATGAGGTCATCAGCCAAGTGGAGTCAAGTCACTTGAATATTATTTAAAAACATCTGTTTTTTATAATGTTATCTAGTAGACCCATTTTCCTAAGCAAGAGTTGAATCACGTGTGTCGTATACTGCAGTAAATTAAAATGACCTATTTATAGATTTAACTATCAGCCTATTGTTACAAGTTTAAGCTGAATTTTTGTTTTTTCTTTACCATTTTGAATGAATTTATTTATTTTCAACTTAAAAGAGTTTTATTTACTTCCCACTAACAAATCTTTATTTCCATTCATGAGAGCAGTAAGTTGACCATATTCAGCTTTCTTGCCCAGTAACTCAAAGGAAAAAACCCAAAGAGATTAGTAAAGAAAAATGGAGAAATTAATACCCCTTAAATTTTTAAAATATGTTTAAGGGTGAAAAGTGTTTATAATCCCTAGTAGGAAAACATTATCTGAATGAAGACCCTAATGGCAAACCCCTGTAAAATACTTCAGCCGCATTTGATGCAGAAGGGTAGGGATAGTCTTCGAAGCACCCCAGCTCTCCTGATGAGGTCAGAGGTACACTGGCTTGTATTATCACAACATCCAGTGAGTGAGCTAAGCTGCTCTTCATTCAGCAAGGGCTCTGTTTGACATTACACTTGACCTCCAAACTTGCCTGACAATTTACCAATGAGATTCATAACCTTTGGGTTGCTCTGATATTTTGACATATTTGCTGGGGTTTGGGCCACATCCTGGAAAGCCACCACGACTTCTGGATCCTGCTTTGCTGCAAGAACCTCAGGGTCACTGAGGATTTCTTTGAGTCCAGGCATTCCTGCCATTCCAGGCATGCCCCTCCCATTCCAGGCATGCCCCTCCCATTCCAGGCATGCCCCTCCCATTCCAGGCAGGCCCCTCCCATTCCAGGCATGCCCCTCCCATTCCAGGCATTCCTCCAGGAAAACCACCTGGGAAAGAGCCGTACTGAGCCCCAGACTGGCTTCTGGCTTCCTCTTCCCTTTGGGCTCTTTCATGCTCTTCTCGAGCCTTCTTCACCCTTTCTATTCTTTCTTTTATCTCTCGCTCTTCACGTTTTCGCTCATATTTTCTCCGATGTTCAGCATTGAACCTCTTTCAGCATTGCACTGGCATCCTCGTCATAGTCCAGTTTACAGGCCAGGGCTAGGTCATGAGCTGCTTCTTCCCAGTGACCCAGGAGTCTTGTGCTTTCCCCCACCAGGTGAATGGCTGAGCTGAATCAGGGTTTATCTCAATGGCTCTGTCCCAGTCTCGGATAGCAGCATTTGGCTTCTGTAATTTAACAAACACACTGGCTCTCTTGGCATACAGAATAGCCAAGCGAGGATTTAGCTTGACGGCATCAGTGAACAAGGCAATAGCTTTCTGCAGCTCACCATCATTTAGGGCTTCAGTGGCAGCCCCCTTCTTTTCATTTGCCTGATCCATCATCTCCGCGGTTATCTCTGCATTTTCATCTCCCATCTCTTGAGAGACATCAGGGTCCGGCTCAAGTACACCTTCATTGTCAATTTCTAGATCACTCTCCTCACTGGATGGTTTGTCCGCCTTTATGCTTTCCTCTGTCTTATTATCTCTTTTTTTCTTCCTTGACATTTTCTTCTGATTTAGCCTTATGCATAGCAGGTGGTACTTAACCTCCCATGCTGGCGGAAACAGGTGGATCTCTGGGAATTTGAGGCCAGTCTGGTTTATACAAGTTCTCAGTATGCAGAGCTACATGGTGAGAGCCTATCTCAAACCAATAATAATTCTCTCCACCCACTCCCTCAGGAAACGCATTTCCTCAGTGTGCAGGACGCTCGGATCCTCTTACACTCGAATGAATTTATTAATTCTAATTTAAGAACTTATAGAGAACAGAGAGATATTTCAATGCATCATGTGCTAGTTTATACATGAGGTAAGTCAAAATACTCAGTGGTTGGAAAATACTTAATAAAGATGACTGATAATAGCACCTTTAGACTGCTGAGCTATGTAACCCAGGAATGGGTAAAATATTTTCTGTGGAGTATGCAGAATTTGGATATAAAGAGTAGACTCCTTGTCCTTTTGAAAAGCCATTTATAAAAACACTGAAAATAATCTCTATAAGATTTTTAGATGTAATTTTAGGCAACACCCATGGGCTATTGAAAACGATTTTTAAATGGTATCCTTTGGATGATGATTGTCTTAGTTATGGTTTCTGTGCTGTGAATAGACTCCATGATCATGGCAGTTCTTACAAAGGAAAACATATTTGGGGTGAGCTTATGGTTCCACAGCTTTAGCCCATTATTATTATTGTGGGTGGCAGACAGGCATGGTGCTGGAGAAGGAGGTGAGAGTTCTACATTTTGATCCTCAGGCAGAAAGAATTGGGTTTGGCTTGAGCATGTATGAGATATCAAAGCCTGACTCCACAGTGACACACTGTCAAGGCCACACCTCCTAACAGTGCTATTCCCTGTGGGCCAAGCGTTCAAACACAAGAATCCATGGGGACCATGCCTGCTCAAACCACACAGTGATTATGGATCCTGAGTAAGATTATACTGCAACCTGCCAGTTATTAGTACAGAACAGATAACCATACTGAATTGTATTTAGTGGTGTAATACTCACTGAAGTTCTTTACCAATAAAGGATTAAATCTATGAGCTACCTAACAACATTACTTAACAAGCTAATAACCTGCTCTGGTTCGGGTGTTACGTTTCTTAGAAGGAAAGCTTTCAGAAAGCATCTTGAAGCGCAGAGCCAAATCATTAGTAGTGATTGGCAGGTTAGTATTTACCCGGTTGAAATAGCACAAAATTATACATTTTGTTGTTTTAGTTTCTTTACCATGAAAATTAAGCAGTCATTTAAGTATGGATTTGACAGATGAGCCGAAGAGAATATTGTCCATATATTGCAGGACTAATAACTCTGGGAACTTATACAGTGTTGGTTTCAGGTTTTATTCCTAATTGTAATTGTTCTGGTACTAGAAACTGTGCCTATTTTAATTTTCATCAAGAAGGGACCATTAAGCAATCTATGCTGAGTTATTACCACTCTGTGGGATAGACAAAATAAACTAACAAGAATAAGCAAATAACAACATCAAAATCTAAGCTCTGCAGTAGCCAGGTTGGCTCAAGCTGTAGCAGCAGAGCCCCGCCCACCATTTCTTAGACCTTGGGTGTTATGGAGGCCACACTTTGCATCCCATTGGGAGAAAAGGCCCACGTGGCCAAAGGGCTTTGAGTTCCAATCAAAACTGTTCAGGAAGACTAAACCTGAAAACCAAGCAGGAGCTCCTTAGTACACGGAGCCTTGCTGTGACCTGCCAAGATGTGTCCAGCAAGGGAAAAAGGTTATTTATGTTTTGTTAGTTCATTTTGTGTGTGTTTGTTTCTATTTCTTGTGGTTTGCAAAAAAATAATTGACAAGGATTCTTCTCTCCTCTTTTGTGGCCTCTTGTTACCTTAGTTCCTATGAGTATAAAGTGGAAGAGGTATTGCTCTGAGTATTTTGTTCCTTGGGATCTTAACAAATATTTCAATAAGTGTAAAACGCTGTCACCGGGTCCTGAGAAGAACCTGTATTTATCCCACTCTCTCATTTGAGATCATGAATTCTTTTAAGTGAGTTCTTTGTCAGTTTGTCCCTAATTCCTTAACTCTTGGCCCCAGCCCCACATTGTCATTGTTCCTCCAGGCTTTATTGCTGTCACAGAAAATATCCACATGAAGTTAAGAATGAAACCAGGGTCAGCACCACATTAGCTGGCACTGGGTCAAAAATTTCTTGAGTTTGACCAAGCCGTTTATTTTTTTACACCTTTAAACACAGGTTTAAAAGGTTTCCATTTAAAATTATGGCAACAAAGCTTTGGGCATGGCTACATTGAAACTCCATTGAAATGTACATTTCTCTGGTGAGGCACCTGGGACCTTTACCCTAAAATGGGTTCTCTTCACAGAGGAACAGAGTTTAGGGCAAGGGCCTGAGGAGGATAGATTTGTAATAAGCATAAGCCTGGTTTCTATTGACTGAGAATGCAAATTTCGTGGGACCACTTTCATAAGGAGGGCTTTATGCCCGGAGAGACAAAGCTCAGAATGAGAGCCTGAGCAATGCTGAGGATTTGGGGTGGAGGTGAGATTCAGGTGATGTTGCAATCCATACACTAGCAGAAGATCACCACGGTTTTAGACAACATCCATTCCAGGTTTCCTAGTGAACAGACATCAGTCATTTTCTTTGACTGAAGAAATATATCCTTCATGTCTAACAATTCTGGTTCCTCTAATGCTTTCTGTAAGCTATGCCTTCTACATCATTCCCTTGGTCTTTTTACCAGGGCATCTGAGAAAGTTGAGTCAGTGTAAGTCCCCGCAGTGATTGAACTTACTGCTAAATTGCCTCATTAGAAATTTGTTAAAATACTTGTGATTCCATTTTGTCTACAGATTGTTCATTTATTCATCTTCCCCTTGATGGCTGAAACTCATGCCCCTTGATACACAGTCATTTGCATCACTCTGTACATAAAAGCCAAACCTCAGCCCAGAGTTGCTTCATCAGATCTGCATCTTCATTGTATTTATCATTTTTGATTGTTCATATTGAGCTGAGCAGTACCCTTTCCATCACCTTGGTTATCTACTGTGAGAAATATACATTATGTGTGGAATATTATAAGAATGGGACAAAATGCATGTTTTATTTCAAAATTTTATTATGTATATATGGATGGATGGATGGATGGATGGATGGATGGATGGATAGATTTATGTTGTGTGCATGGTGAGAATGCTAGTGTCCTTGTGTAAGAGATTGAGCCTCTGGAACTGGAGTTACAGGCAGTTCTGAGCAGCCATGGCTGCTGGGAATCAATTCCAGGTGCTTTGGAAGAGCAGTCAGTGCTTTTTACTACCGAACCATCTCTCCAGCCTCAACAATACTCTTTTGTAGATACTCGCTCTCCATTGTATGGTTCTTAAAAGTAGGATATCCATGGAAGTTTCTAGGATCTTCTGTCATTCACTTTCCTTAATGATGAGTCCTGTGTATCATCACAGTACTGCATCAGACTTACGTTAGGGACATGACTGACCTATGTCAGAAAGGCTCTAGCTCTCTTCTCACTCGGAGTGACCTTTAGATTAATATCTAGAAGTACATATGCCTCTTGTTATTTGTGTTTTCCCTGGCAGTTTTAATTAGCATTCATTTTTCTTATTTGTTTCAGGAAATGCTGTCTTTCAGGGATGTGGCCATTGTTTTCTCTGCAGAGGAGGGTGAATACCTGGGCCCTGATCAGTGGAATCTGTACAGGGATGTGATACTGGAGAATTACAGCAACCTCGTGTTCCTGGGTATGTTGCCCTTTCAATTGATGCTGCCTTTTAATCAATGGCTGTTCTAATTAGGAAGTGCAATTCTGCCACTGCCAACAGTGGTTAAGTCACCAGAGCTGCAGCCTGAGAGAGAGTTCCCTCAGGCAGAGTCTCTCAAAGTTGTGAGGGAACTTCTCGAAATCCCTGGCCTTCTAAAGAACTCAAGATTCAAAGGTTCAGGTGGAACTCTGCTCCTCAGAGAGGCTCAATAGCAGCTAACTCCTCTCCTTGCTTGTGTCTAATAAAAAGCCCTCATTCTTCTCCTCACCCCTGTTTAAAAACCCTTCTCCACCTGGCTTCTCCCTCCCACTTCCTGTCAGCTAATTGCTGACTCAGCATCCTGACTGCAAGTGAAGTTCATTTACTCAAACAAATGTAACATATCTTTGCATCGTTAAACAAATGTTCCAGAGCATGAAGAAAAGAAACACAGCTTAAGGTAAAATTCTACAACGTGCGTGGGGGAATCTTCCATGGTGAGCTCTTAATTAACTGTCAGCATCAAACTTGATTTCTTTCTACAGTATCTCAAGGGTGCTTGTGCTTCCAACAATGAAATTTATGGGGCAAATTTTAAGGAAAACTGAAGAGAATATTCCTATACCTTAGAATAATTTTATTTCTTTTCATGTTCATAGCAGCTTCCCATCCTTTTTATAGAGGTATCCTTTATATTGGTGGTAATGTTAGAAATTAAATGGCGTGAGTGGGAAGCTTATATGATAAAAAGAATATCGCACTCTTCGGTTTTAATATTTCTTCTTGTAACTGAGGGACATGAAGCTAACTAAAGACCTGAAAATCCTAAATTCTTCCTAAGCATTCTGATGTGCCCGTCAGGAAACTCATGTGATGTGGGAGTGTCATATATCAATCTGTTGATTTCATTGGTTAAGCAATAAAGAAACTTCTTGGCCCTGATAGGTTAAAACATAGGTGGGAGGAGTAAACAGAATAGGATGCTGGGAGGAAGAGGAAGTGAGCTCAGACTCGACAGCTCTGCTCTTTGGAGCAGAGGCCCTGCTTCGCTCTCCTGGGCACACGCGATGAAGCTCCCACCCAGGATGGATGTAGGCTAGAATCTTCCCGGTAAGCGCACCTTGGGGTACTTACACACATTATTAGAAATGGGCTAGTCCAGGTGCGAGAATTAGCCTAGAAGAGGCTAGAAAGAAATGGGCCAAGCAGTGCTTAAATGAATACAGTTTGTGTGTTGTTATTTCGGGGCATAAGCTAGCAAGCGGCCGGGGTGCTGGGGACGCAGCCCCACTGCTCCTATTATTTCAACACTCATGAACATCTAATCCTCTACAGTCCTCGTTGTATCTTCTCATTCCTTATACATACAGTCCTAGAGAGGACATGCTATCTAATGGAGGAGGGTCTTCTGTCTATGCGTTACTTTTATTGGTTAATAAAGAAACTGCCTTGGCTCTTTGATAGGACAGAAAATTAGGTAGGCAGAATAAACAGAACAGAATGCTGGGAGAAAGAAAGCATAGTTGGTCAGATGCCATGGAGCCAGCTGCCAGGTCAGACATGCCAAATCTTTCCCAGTAAGCCACCACCTCGCGATGCTACATAGATTATTAGAAATGGGTTAATCAAGATGTGAGAATTAGCCGGGCGGTGGTAGCGCACGCCTTTAATCCCAGCACTCGGGAGGCAGAGGCAGGCGGATTTCTGTGAGTTTGAGACCAGCCTGGTCTACAGAGCTAGTTCCAGGACAGGCTCCAAAGCCATAGAGAAACCCTGTCTCGAAAAAAACCAAAAAAAAAAAAAGATGTGAGAATTAGCCAATAAGAGGCTAGAACTAATGGGCCGGGTAATTTTTAAAAGAATACAATTTATGTGTAATTATTTTGGGTAAAGCTAGCCCACGGCCGGGAGCCAGGCAGCGGCCCTCACAAAGCAGGCCTGCTCAACTAATCACTACAGCTATCCCCAGAGAAAAAAACTAATGATGTTATCTTTTCCCATGAACAGGTCTTGCCTCCTCTAAGCCTTCCCTGATCACATTTCTGGAGCAAACACAAGACCCTTCAGACATGAAGAGACTCACAGCAGCTGCCATGGAAACAGGTGTGTAGGAATGAGGGGGACAGAGGAAACGGGGGGGGGGGGTAGAGACCCAACAGTAAGCCAGGTTTTATCACGAACACTGACTCACAATGTTCTCATGGACATAATGTTTTAAGGATCTCCTTTTGTATCTTTTGCTGTGAAAAGTGGATATTTATGGTACTTTGATTTTCTTACGCTCTGTCCTTCTCCCATCAGGTCAGCTTATGTTTACAGTAAGTGACTAAACTCTCTCATTTGTGGGTGAACATGATCTATTTTTCCTAAGTTGGTCAGTGGATATTTATTCATAAACTGTGCAGAGATCCTCCTTTCTTCAATTCTTGAACAATATTATCGAATATTGTTATCGACAGGTTTCTAGTTATGCAGCCTAACTTTCATACCTTCCAAAACTAAAGGTCTGAATTTAGCATATATATGTACTATAAAAACATATGTTTCCAACTTTGACTAATGTTATACTTTGTGTTTATCTAGTTATAAAGTTTCTCTATTTCTATAAATGGCTCATTTACAATAGCGTAATAGTCTTGTTTTCTTCTTGATGTTATGCCTTCCTTACATGTTTGACATTCATTAATATTGATTTGTTTCTATGTTCTATGTCGTCATGGTCTTCATCTTTCACTACAAGTTACATAATTTCAATTTATGGTTTTTTAAATAAGGCTACACTGAACACAGCTTTAGAAATTTGAATGTAGCATTATTTATATGGTAAATTACAGGTATGAATCAATATTCTGGTTTTAAAAATAAGCATAAATATAGAGAACTTTGCTTAGTTTTCATTCATTTCTTAACTTTTGCTCACCAGGAAACAAATACTATACAGGCAAAGAATGTGACAAAACCCTTCCTTGGAACTCACAACCTATTAGTCACCAGAAAATTAACTTAAGAATGAAGCCATGTAAGTGTGAAGAATGTGGGAAAGCCTTCCATTTTCCATCGTTACTTTGTGTGCACAAGAGATTTCATACAGGAGAGAAATCCTACAATTGTGATATATATGCTGAGGACTTCTGTTTTCCATCACGTCTTACTGAACACAAGAGAATTCATAGAGGAATAAAACCCTACAAGTGTGAAGTATGTGGCAAAACCTTCAAACATCCATCAATACTTCTTATACACAAGAAAATCCATACAGGAGAGAAATCCTACAAGTGTGAAGTATGTGGCAAGGCCTTCCATGTTCGATCACAACTTTCTGTACACAAAAGCGTTCATACTGGAGAGAAACCCTACAAGTGTGAAGTGTGTGGAAAGGCCTTCTGCATTCCATCAAGACTTTCTGTACACAAAATGATTCATTCAGGGGAGAAAACCTACAAGTGTGAAGTATGTGGCAAAGGCTTCTGTACTCCATCACGGCTTTCTGATCATAAGAGAATTCATACAGGAATTAGACCCTACAAGTGTGAAGCATGTGACAAGGCCTTCTGTTTTCCATCACAACTTACTGTACACAAGCGAATTCATACAGAAGAGAAACCCTACAGGTGTGAGGTATGTGGGAAGTCCTTCAAATGTTTATCAGTACTATCTGAACACAAGAGCAGTCATACAGGAGACAAACCCTACAAGTGTGATGTATGTGGTAGGGCCTTCAGTTTTCCGTCACGAGTTTCTGAACACATGAGAATTCATACAGGAGAGAAACCTTATAAGTGTGAATTATGTGGAAAGGGCTTCTATATTCCATCACATCTTTTTGTACACAAAAGGATTCATACAGGAGAGAAACCCTATGAGTGTGAAGTATGTGGCAAAGCCTTCAATACTTCATCAGGACTTTCTGTCCACAAGAAAATCCATACAGAAGAGAAACCCTACAAGTGTGAAGTGTGTGGCAAAGCCTTTAAACGTCCTACAGGACTTTCTGTCCACAAGAAAATTCACACCGGAGAGAAACCCTACAAATGTGAAGTGTGTGGCAGGGCCTTCAGTAATACATCAGGACTTTCTATACATAAGATGATTCATACAGGAGAAAAGCCCTACAAGTGTGAAGTATGTGGCAAAGCCTTCAGAGGTCCATCAGGACTTTGTGTACACAAGAAAATTCATAAAGGAGAGATGCCCTACAAGTGTGATGTATGTGGTAGGGCCTTCTATATTCCTTCACAACTTTCTGTACACAAAAGGATTCATATAGGAGACAAACCCTACAAGTGTGAAGTGTGCGGAAAGGCCTTCAATTGTCCATCTGGACTTTCTGTACACAAGAGGATTCATACAGGAGAGAAACCCCACAAATGTGATGTATGTGGCAAGGCTTTTACTCGTCCTTCTGGACTTTCTAAACACAAGAGTACCCATATAGGAAAGAAAAAATACAAGTGTAAAGTATGTGACCAGACCTTTACTGGTCCATCAGGACTATCTAAGCACATGAATATTCATACAGGAGAGACCCTGTAAGTGAAGAGTGTGTCATTCATCCATCAGGACTTTCTGAACACAAGAGAATTCATACAGAAGAGATGCCCTAGTGTTTTGACGTATGTGGCAAGGTCATCCATGCTGTATCATTACTTAAAGTACACAAGAGACTTCCTATAGGGGAGAAACCCTACAACTGAGAAGTATGTGGGAAAGCTTTCTGTTTTCCATTACTACTTTCAGAAGCAAGAGCATTCATATAGGAGAGAAAGCATGCAATCTAAAATATGTGGTGAGTTCTTTAGAACTTTTTGGATTATTTATTCTCACTTGATAATCCACAATAGAAAGAAACCCTGCAATTATAAGGATTGTGGAAAAGCCTTCTATGAAAAGCCATACCTTGCTCAGCACGAATGAACTCACACTGGATAGAAACCTTACAAACGTGAAGAGTGGCAGGCTGCTCAGTTGTACCAAAAACCTTAAGGGACATCAAAGAATTCATTCTGGAGTGAAACTCTACAAGTGTAAAGAATGTGGCAAAGACTTTATAAATTACATAGCACATTCCCAGCACCAGTCTATTATGAGTGTGGAGAATGGCAATGCTTTTCCCCTGACTTCTGGTTTAAACAACTTCTAAGAACTTATGTGTGAGAGAAAGCCTGTGAAGAATATGCCAAGGTCTTATGCACTTAATAAAAACTTTTGAAACACCTGATAATTCATACTGGAGAAAAATGCCATTAGTGCCAAACATTTAAAAAAAAAAACCCTTTAATAAACTTTCTATTATTTCTCAAGACAAAGTAGTTCAAACTTCAGAGAAATGATACCAACATTACAATATTCATAAAATGTTTTATACTTTCTCAGTTTCTAAAAGATATAAAGACTCTTCTGTCCAGAAACCGTACAAATGGGATGTCTTTTCGTATATATGTTGCCCTTACTGGTTGATGAATAAAGCTGTTTTGGTCAATGGCCTGGCAGAGTAAATCAAGAGTGCGAGTGAGTAGGTGGAGTTGAGGAGGTGCCTTGTAGCCACTGAAAAAGAAAGATGCCAGAACATTACCAGTAAGCTACAGCCTCATGGCAATACATAGGTTATTAGAAATGGGTTGATTTAAGATGTAAGAGTTAGTTATGGGCATCACAATCACTGACTTCAAACTCTACTACAGAGCTACAGTACTGAAAACAGCCTGGTATTGGCATAAGAACAGACAGGAGGACCAATGGAACCAAATAGAGGACACAGATATCAATCCACACATATTTAAACATTTGATACTTGACAAAGAAGCAAAAAATATCAAATGGAATAAAGAAAGCATATTTAATGAGTGGTGCTGGCATAACTGAATCTAAACATGTAGAAGAATGAAAATAGATCCATATCTATCACCTTGCACAAAATTCAAGTCCAAATGGATCAAAGACCTCAACATAAAGCCAGCCACACTGAACCTTATAGAAGAGAAAGTGGGAAGTACACTTAAACGTGTTGGCACAGGGAACCATTTCCTAAATATAACCCCAGCAGCACAGATACTGAGAGAAACAATTAATAAATGGGACCTCCTGAAACTGAAAAGCTTCTGTAAAGCAAAGGACATGGTCAACAAGATAAAATGACAGCCTACAGAATGGGAAAAGATCTTCACTAACTCCATATCAGACAGAGGTCTGATCTCCAAAATATACAAGGAACTCAAGAAATTGGACACCAAATAAATACATAATCCAAGAGTAAAGACCTAAACAGAGAACTCTCAACAGAGGTACCTAAAATGGCTGAAAGACACTTAAGGAAATGCTCAACATTCTTAGTCATCAGAGAAATGCAAATCAAAACAACTCTGAGATTCCATCTTATACCTGAAAGAATGACCAAGATCAAAACACTGATGACAACTTATGGTGGAGAGGTTGTGGGGAAAAGGGAACACTTCTGCGTTGCTGGTGGGAATGCAAGCTGATACAACCCCTTTGGATATCAGTGTGGCGATTTCTCAGAAAATTAGGAAACAACCTTCCTCAAGACCCAGTAATACCACTTTTGGGTATATATCCAAAGCATGCTCAATCATGCCACAAGGACATGTGCTCAACTATGTTCATAGCAGCCTTGTTTGTCATAGCCAGAACCTGGAAACAACCTGAATGGCCCTCGACCAAAGAATGGATAAGGAAAATGGTACATTTATACAATGGAGTACTACACAGCAGAAAAAATAATGACATCTTGAATTTTGCAGGAAAATGGATAGAGCTAGAAAGCATTTTGAGTGCAGTAACCCAAACACAGAAAGACAATTATCACATGTACTCACTTATAGGTGGTTTTTAAACATAAAGCAAAGAAAGCCAGCCTACAAACCACAATTCCAGATAACTTAGACAACAATACAGACACTAAGAGAGACTTACATAGATTTAATCTACATGGGAAGTAGAAAGTATAAAAAGACAAGATCTCCTGAGTAAATTGGGAGCATGGGGAACTTGGGGGAGGATTGAAGGGAAAGGGGAGAGGTAGTAGGGAGGGGAGCAGAGAAAAATGCAGAGCTCAATAAATATCAATTTAAAAAAAGAATCAAAATAAAAATACTTTCAAAACACAGACACACACAAAAGTGTTAGTTTTAAATAAGCCTGAGCCATTGGTCAGTGTTGTAATTAACGTAGTTTCTGTGTGATTATTTGAGTCTGGGCCACTGGGAAATAAAAGTGCAATTTCTGTTTACTTAATGGCACCCAATGTTTGACAAAGTACTTCCACAAAAACCTGAGGAAACTTTAATAAATGCTTCTAGACCCACAAAAACACAAGTCAATTGCAGTTTCTTGGTAGCTGCATTTTTCTTCAGCTAGACACTGCTGGCTTTGAGCAGAAGTGTGACTTCATTAAGAGATAACTTCCTGGTTGATGCTCATGGCCCAAATGGCTCTGGATATTTCAGAGGTCCTGCTACAGAGCACTTAAATGGGATTTGTGAAAAAAAAAAAATGCTACTATTTACTTAATGGGGACAAAGACTCACTGCATCCCTGGAGTTGAGGCAGTGAACATGTCTCCCAGAGACAGTGAACCTACCTCTGCCATGTTTAGTGGGAAACAGCCAACAGACAAAGCCGCAGCATTGGTCTTAGTCATCCCAGCTTAACACTTTAAAAAAAATGCTCCTGATCGTAAACAGATTACAGCTACACAGTAAAGATATTTAATCCTAGCACTTGGGAGGCAGAGGCAGGAGGATCTCTGTGAGTTCGAGGCCAGCCTGGTCTACAAGGGCTAGTGCCAGGACAGGCTCCAAAGCTACAGAGAAACCCTGTCTCAAAAAAAAAAAAAAAAAGGCCTCTAAACAGGCCAAAGTATGTTTGATAAATGTGCCTGGACTTATGACAAAGAAGATAAAAGGTAGAGTCATAGATAAAAAAAAAATTAAGAATATTAAACTGAGGTTTTTAAAGGAATAATAGAATAAAACATGGGCCATGAAAAGATGGGAAATAGTCAGGATTACATATATTTTTATTTCTTTGAGTCTTTGACTGCAGAGAGATATTTGATTCTGGGAACTGCAAAGCTAAAGCAACATATATTTTAAAATATGTTGACTTCAAAATTTGAGTCTCAGAATATGTTACTTTGGAAAAGAGGTTCTACTTTTGTTTCCACAGAGGATTGGAACCTGTGGGTTCCTTCTAGGCTAATGTGGTTTAAGGAACAAGACTCCCTTCAAAAAAGGTCTCTGTGAACTCTAAAAATACTTTACCCAACCACCAGCAGGAAATAGTTTGGAGAAAACTATGCCTAAATTTCTTAATGATTATAAATGTTTGTTTTTATTTAAAGGGGGTTGATTATAAATGGTTAATGGTCACATTCAATATCTTTCTACAGAAGAAGGGGATATGATATAGAAATGAATACATTACAATGGTATGGACTTTGGTTTATTGATACAAATTTAATGTCAATTTTGTTATATATATATTTCTACTCTCATTTAAGGTATTATGTTCATACAGCTCATTTAAAATTATAGATTAATAGTCATTTATAATAGTCGATGTTGTAGTCAAATTAGATTTTCTAGATATACAGAGATATATTTCAGATGGATAGGTAACCTTCAAAGACCAACAGAATATGGCTTTTAAATGTTTTTAAGAACTTAGACTTTCCTCAGCAGTGAGACATGTCTGCTGTAAATAATAAAACATGTAGGAATTTCTTGAAGATAGGATGGCAGCATGTCCATGCTTAGTGACAAATAGATCTCTGAGTGGGTGAGTCCAGGGTTCCGTATGTTTAGTATTTTTTTTCTAATGGTTTGAAATATCAGGTTTTCTGGCTTGAATGCTGGCCCTTTCTGGGTAGTGTCTCCTTTTCCTAGAGTGCTGCTTGATCAGATTCTACCTTCCCTTATGTGATTTTGAAATGCATGTTAATATCATTGTTTTTGCCTATGGGATTTTTAAACCATGTATAAAAAACTAAAAATCTGGTGGAGATCATTCTTTTCTCTGGTTCTTCACCCACAGAATAAAGAATATGCAGAAGTAACATGCTTGAGTTAATTGATTTTATTTACACTTGGACCTTAGGAATCTAAGATTTAATAGACTTAACACCAAAATAAACCTCAATAGGCTGATTCTTTAAAGAGTCTGCCAGTCATTCTACAGGACACAGAAGAAAACAACTGATGAACTTTGCCAATCAAGACAAGACAGATCATCAAATATTGTGCTTCACAGAAAAGTCTTTCAGATATGCTAAGCCTATAGACCCAAGACTGATGTTCCAATGTTATAGAAGAACTTTGGGGGACTGTCCAGGCAGTGAGATATCTCTGCCAATTCTAGAGTTTTGGAGGTTGCTTACAATGCACTTCCTGTTTACTTAGGTAATAATATATCCTTCTGGGGTCTTTGGAGTTGAAGACAGATAGTTATAGTTTGTCTTAAACTTAATGAAAGATAAATTAGATATAAAACTTTAAACTCACAAAGGTAAAATAGTATATTTTCTTTAATTTTGCCTAATACCAACGAGACTAAATGTGACTAATTCTTGCTTGATAACTGTTGTATTATATGTAATTTTACTATATGAAAGTTAAAACCTTCCTTTATAAAAAACAGAAATGGAGAAATGATGTGGGATGTCCTTATTATATGTGTTTCTATTATAGGTACCTAAAACCTTAGGGACATCAAAGAATTCATTTTGGAGAGAAACCCTACAGGTGTAAAGTATGTGGCAGCCTTTAGAACTTACACCGCAGTTCTAAACTACAGACTATATTGGAGACAAACGTGAATATGGAGAAGGGCAAAGCATGAATAGAAACACTACAAATAGGGCGTGTGTGATAAGGCCTTTGTAATCATTCAAACCTTACCCAAAACAAAAGAATCCATGTACAAGAAATCCATAGACATGTGAAGAATACAGTGATGTACTTTACCATTCAGCCAGCATTTTCTGATTTTAGAATTTATCCCAGAGGAAACAACAAGACTGTATGGTGTGATAATGCTTTTCAGGATTCCTCATTTGGTGATGACTCCAACCATAAAATATTTTCTTTGCTACTTTATAACCTAATAATTTGCTACTGTTGTGAATCATGATGTAAATATCTTTATACTGATAGACTTGGGTGACTCATGGCAAAAGGTCTTTGACCCCTAAAGGGGTTTTGACCCACAGGTTAATAATTGCTTCCATAAATGAAGAAAAATATTCATACTAAACAACATCCCTAGAAATGTGAGGAATGCTGAGAACTTTATCATTCACCCATTGTGCATCGAAAACGTCACACATGCAAATGTAGAATATGACCAGGTGTTTAGGTTTTCTTCATGTCTATACGTGCATTGTAGGGCTCATACTGCTAAGGGACACTACAAATAATAAGATTATGGCAAGGTTTTATCTGACTTTCATATTGGAAATATCCTCTGAGACCCCACACTTGTAAGAGAAGCTGTATACACAAATAATTCTGAAAAGCCTTCAATATTACTATTTTTCATCAACATATAATTCCACACTCCCAAATAATGGGAAAACTTCAATAATATTATAATCTTCGCCAACACCAAATAATATGTATTGAATTAGGAATAATGCAAATGCTGATGTCTTTATTTGCTTCTGCTCTCAACAGCCTAGCAATATGTGTAAATCACAATTGTGTAGATTCCTTGATCTGAATGTCCCAAGGAAATCACTGTGGGTCGTTTTATTGATGCTAATTGCTGTAGGAGAATCTAGACTATTAGATGTTGGCATTGTACCTTGTTGTATGTGTTGTATGTGCTCTTGACCAGAATGTCCTAGGTTTATGAAAATGCTGGCTGATCCCAAGCCAGGGTGAAGAAGACAGAATACAGCATTCCTCCATGGTTTTTAGTTCATGCCATGCCTTTAGATTTCTGCTGTGTTCTCCTGGCCTGCCTTCCATGGATGAAGATGTTCTGCCAGTGTACTGAAATGATCCACCTTCCTCCCCTAATTAGTTTTTGGTCATGCCATTTATCACCACTATAGAAATCAAACTGGATAAAGAATGTTGCAAGGTTTTGCATCTTCTTAGTACAATAATTAACACTGAAGCCTTCCTACTGGTGATAGTATCACAAGGCTTTAAAGCTTCTTCAAACTTACCTCACCCTCAACAATTACACACACACAAAAAAAAAAAAACACTGTTCCAAAAATATTATAAAGACTTTATTGATTTTTATCAGCAATTTAACACCAAAAAGATCATACTGGAGAGGAATCCTGTAAAACAAAAGGAAATCAAATCTGATTACATGGAACATGAGAAAATCATATTTAAGAGAAACTATTACAAACACCAATGATAGGTTATATGACACACCTTCATATCAGGAAGCTTTCTTTGTTGAGAAAACTTACAGATATAAATTGTGTAATGCCTTTCATTGAAATTCCATTCTGATTCACCACTAGTGAATTTATATTATGTAGAAACCTACTTATGGCTCTAGCAGTAATCTTGTCCAACATATACACCTTATAACCTTTTTTTTTTTTTTTTTTTTTTTTTGGTTTTTCAAGACAGGGTTTCTCTGTGGCTTTGG